AAATTCACCAACTTCTCCAGGATATACTCCATGGCGAATGCCAGATCGCTTTGATCTTGCTGAACATCTGCACAGTGGACCATCATTCATTTCCCCTGGATCATTGAACCTTGAAATTAAAAAAAATGCTGATATGGGCATGTTCATTATACTTATTATAATGTAATATCTATTAGAAAAACGTATTAATATTACAATAAAAATTTAAAGTGATTCTGTAGCAGAGCAAACCTGACTAATACATACTTACAAAATTAATTAAAATAAAACATAAGATAAAGCATTGCACCAAAAAGCATATCAATTAGCATTTAATCCTTTCATCAGTTAAAATTTGCATCGAATATATGTCAAAAAACTTACCACATTTCTCTATGTAGTCTTTGAGGATGTTTCAATTTACGTGATAACTCCTCCATTGCGCAGTCTTCTTCGTCTGATTCCATGCCACTCATTGAACTATCACTACTAGAATCACAATGTTCACCTACAAGAAATGGAATAGACAATTCAAAATGTTTTTATGTAAGTAAAGATAAATATGCAAACTCAAAATAAACTCACTTTTATGTTTACACATTTTTGTCTTGTGCTTGCGAGGAGGTACTTCATAAGGTTTTTGAGATACCCTTGCTTCTTTTGCACGTGCGATTAATATTTTATAAAAATCATCACACAATTGAGCAAGTTTTGGAGTTTGAACCATTGTTCCATCATCAATGCGAGTATAATATAAATCAGCAGGTGATGATCTTGTCCAAACCTTTTCAATATATTATGGTTACAATCAAAATATGAAAAGTGATGTAAAAGTTTTGTTTCATGATTTCATAAGTTTTGTATTATATTATATTATATAAATAAAATTTAATAAGTTTTGAATTATGCAAGAAATAAGAATCTGCTAATTTTAGAAAACTAATCTTACTTCTGTAATATTATCTTCTTGATTATTTAATTCTTGTAGTTTTTGTGATATTTCCTCTGATGTTGCACAAAAGTTTTTTCTGTATTTCATCAACAACATATCCCTTTCTGACCACTAAAATATAAGATTGTCTTCAGAAAAGTTGCTTAATAATAATTACATTATGTTTGAATAGACAAATTAATGTTTACCTTCTTATCATCACTTTTATGCCAACGATCTCGACTTCTTCTTCTTGGTCTTTTTTGTTCAAGTATATTCTTTTTACTATCCGTTCTGTCATTATTATATGATGAAGTATTTAGAGAATATTTATTATCGGCTAATCTTTCATTAGTATAATTATTAAGTGAATCATTTATATCTCTATCACAATCAGATATCAAATCATAATATTTAGTATCTGTTTTATCATAAGCATTACAATTAACATTAATTTTTGATTCTTCTTGCTTAACTTCAGAATAATTTGTATAAGAATCATTATACTGCGTAAACTGATTAATATTATAAACATTAGGTGAAATATTTGGATAGTTGTTAGCCGGTGTTGGATAATAAGGTAAAGACGGCTGATTATAATAAGACTGATAATAGTCTGGCTGAGCGGTTGGAGGTGGCACAATAACATGGTACGGAACACCATTGTTTGCAACTACAGCCAAATTGGGTGGTGGTTTAGTAAAATCTGGCAAAACCGGAGGAGGACAGGCAAAGAAATTTGGTGGCGGTTGATCCATTATTTTTTTAAGTAGTTAGCTCTGCAGATATATCTTCATGGTAATGTTTTCTTGCATTTAGAAATAGCGTATTAAATCATTTCACTCAAATTCATTAAAGCCATTGAACTGTCACATGTATTTCGATTCGTATGATATTTTTGACACTTTTATTTCAACCATTTAAACTGTGTTATTGACTAAACCTTAGTCGTATATAAGGTCTAAACCTTAAGGCGATCATGAAATTATTAAATTACAGGATACTCCGATGCAGTAATTTTACTTTCCAATTAGTTTATTCTAATTATTTAAATATATCAATTAAGACTTATTCTGGCATATCATATATATATATTTCACGAATGCAGATCTTATTAGATGTATGATAATAATGCATGTAGTTATAAGCATTGTTTAAAACATTATTATATCGTCTAACGTTTAAAACGTTATGTGAATAACAAAATATTAAATTTATGAAATATAATCATTAGAAAATAGTGATACCCCTAGACAATATTAGAATCCCCCGTGTTCATATAGACGCTTCTCTCGCCCGATTTTTACGTTCAGAAGGAATACTTAAAGGGTCCTCCGCTCGACGTGGTGGCGCTGCTTTTGGCATTCAAATTAATGGCGCAAAATTTGAAATGAAAATTAATGAATTTTAGTACACGGGTATTTGAAACTAAATTTGGTATTACAATCCAATTATGTTTTGTAATAATGCAATAATAACAAAAATATACTAGATATAATTATATTATTATAAATATACAATCAAATCGAAATATAAATCAACAAATACACTGCAATACACCGAATTATATATAATAGATATCACATCTAATCTACTGGAATAACTTCTACACTTTTTTCTACTTATTAATATAAATATTCAGTGAAATTTAGTGAATAATGCATTATAGTGTTAGTTCATTACATCGTCTGTCATTTTTAACTCTCATTAACTAGTAATCATCCCGTGCAAAATTTGACATTCTTAAGCAATTCATTTTTTCCCAAGTATATTCAGATCCGCGTGAAGTGGTAATCCAATATTAAACAGCTGGAACAGCTTTCTATTTGTGTATTATGTCTTTCTTGTAGAAGCGTATATTTGATTTCTTACACAATTTCCTAGAACTGATCTCTTTCCTTAAAGTGTATTATGATTAGACTAATATGTCAATGCACTACGTAGTATTGTAGTAATTATGTCCTCCATATGAGTTTGAAGCTGTTCTATTCATATTGTCAAAGGGCTATGCATTTGAGAGCAATTCCTGATGAAATCTTTATTAACAAATATACAAACACAAACGAAGAAGAATCGCCATTTTGTAAACTTATACAAAAATAACACTGACGTTTCTTAGTAACCAATATAAAACATTTGAAAATACTTTTTCATCGGCTCACTAGCGCCAAATCTGCGACTACAAATGGACCCCTAAGTATTCCTTCTGAACGAGGATTTTGTTCTAAGTGAAAAGGCCCTGGTGATACCGAACGCAACAACGTTTCTGCTTCTGACACTAGGTAGCAGCATCTCTCGTGACGATCTAATTGGTCGTCACCTTTGACCAATAACAAGTCAAGAATTTGAATTTATTACAGTTTAATACATCCGAATTAATATAATGAATATAAATAAATAATACATAAACATAATATAAATCATTCTGCTTTTTTTATGAAATTATGTATAATATATTTATATAAAGTTATTAAATATATTAATTATTTTGGTGTATTTTTTAATGGAAAAAAAATTGCAAATCTGCCAGTGAAGTTCATTTTGGTCGTGATTAATTGGAGAAAAACAAAAAAGGTTAGAGAAATTTATAAAAATAATTTACTCATTATAGCATCAATCATATATAATTTATTACGAGCAAATATAATATTCAAAAGAATTTATTGATGTTTAAATGCAGTTTCATAGTTACAATTACTACTGCAAAAATATTTTAATAAAAGAGACATTTTGTTACTAATCGAGTTACATAAGTACAATTTATTATTAATACAATACAGCCTTAATAATTACAATAGTTATTTTATAATTTCTCTTCATATATTATATATATATATTTATACTTTCTACACTGCTTATATATAATCTTACACTTCATTGTAAGAACATTAATAGTAAGATTTTATTCATTAATTTGACTGAATATAACTTAAATTGGCATAATATAAACTTGTAAGCTTACAATGAATATTAGTGATATATTTTATATAATTTTATACAAATCAATTTATATATATTTACATATATCTAATGTAGAAAGTTGATTTTTTACCCAAAAACTATAAATAACACTTCTTAATAAATTCAAATAAGATATGAAACTATTAAGAGCATTTTCTAGCAATACAAAATATTTTAAATAAGATTTTACTATTATTTGTGAGATACTGAAAATTTAATTTAATGAATAACAAAAAAGATAAATAAAAAAATATAAAAATCTGAAAAGCTTAACTAATAAATAGTATTATGAAAAAATTCAATTTACATAAACGCAATTTACTATCAATCATTTGTTTATTCTTTGAAGAGTATTTTATGTGCAATCCACAATGCCATAATAGCATTGAGGTGTATATGCAGTACACTTGTCATATCCAAAGAAATCGATTGTATGAAATTTAGTCGATCTGAATCTACTAATATTTTACTGCATTTTACAAGGATCAATGTCGCTTACCTATACAGTACTTGCTTTACTACTGAGACAATACAAATACATGAAATCTAAGCTTCGTATATAATAACAAATTTGCTTGAGCAAAACTGTATTTTAAATGAAATTTTTACACAATTAATTATTCATGATTGTCTTAAAAAATTAATAACAAACTTATCTTTAACCTTACTTTTCATTTTATTTTATTTAAATAATTTACATAAAGTAACTATTTTCTATATAATAAAGTTATACTTATAAATATTTTTATATACAAAATATTGTACATTGGACTAATTTCAGTTTTGAAAAATTAATTGTATTAAAAAAAAACTAATTGCCCTCCATTAATTCAAGCAATGGTACTTGATACCCCAACATTTTTATAACAATTAGATTAAATAATATTTAAATTATATACAAATATCTATAATACAATCACTATAGTATGTTCTAAAACTTTAACAATAAGTTAATAAAAGTGCATGAATAAATTTATGTTGCATAAAGTATATTCCTGCACAATACCAAACTTTTCAAAACTTATTTTCTAATGAATATTTTTTTTGAGTTAACATACATTTTTTACATAATTTTTCTATTCAATAAGTAATAACAGAATTATTTTCGATACTCACATAGAAAGGGCGTGTGCACATGTCATTATTGTAAATACGTATAAAAGAAGTATATTAACTTTATTATTGTTCAGGTTCACATTTACATCAGGTTCATTTACCTCTTACTGCCATTCTCAGCCAGTATAAATAAGCTAAAATTATAACTCAATGTTTTTTGTATATATATATATATATACCACTTCACTGGATACATCCATATTTGCACTACTTTTTAATGTAAGTCTTCAAAACTATTTTATAGTAACACATTATAAAGATTCTTCAAAGGCTGCCATTAAATCACTCTGCATATTCATATCAATTTGATTAGCCAACTGAAAATATAAAGTGAAATTTAATATTTTCCTCCAGGATTCAACTATTTTCCAGTTAAAATTTAGTTATATGTTATACTTTGATCGTATTTTTATGTTTGTATAAAAAAATGAATACCATAATACATACTCTATTTTTTTTGTAGTAAAATATTGTGATATTACAAAATTTGAATTTGAATTGTCTATTCATTATTTGTAGCAAAATTAATCCAATGAATATTAATTAATTATTAAAAAATATATATTTTATTTATAGTTGCACAAGCTATAACACTCACAGCTTCTCTCTGTCTCTTTGCTTTCTCTCGTTCACGCTCCCTAGCAACTTTGTCTCTCTCTGCAGCATCATTATGTGAAGACTGGCTAGTGTTAGAAATAATATTGGGCAGTTGATTATTTGGGGAACCCTTTACACCACTTGCAGGTGAATGCACTAGGTCATCAACTCGGCCTGGTGGGGCAGGAGTTATAGGTGTAGGTCCAGCCCCAATAGGGGGTCCTGCTTTCCTGAGCATAACGGGGCTGCAATAACAATATTATTAATATAGAAATGAAAAAAATTCAATTGATAAATTAATTTTCATGACTGCATCATATGAGGCAGAAAACAAAATCATGGTAACAAACAAAATTTAAAAAATATTCTACATTTATCCTGCAAATATATAATTTTCTCAAATAATCTATAACTCACTTTGACTTATCTGGTGTTTCAGATGCTTCTTTCTCTCTTAATTTTTCCATTGCTCTTTGTTGCTGCTGCAAAGCCTTTTGTCTATCTTTCGCTTTGTTTTTAAATGCCTGTTAAATATTAAACATTATTGACACTATTAATAAAAATATAAAGATGACTATAATAATACATACCAAAAATGTATCTGAATGTGTCTTAGGTTTTGATCCTTGTGAATTTTGAGGCGAATTAGATTGTGATTGACTCAATCCTATGGAAGACCATGAACTAGCATTTTTAACATTTTGTTCTTGCTTTGGTTTGAATGCTTGTACAAAATTTGTTACAGAGTTTTTCTGTTCTGGTGGTGTTTGCTTTTTCTCATGACTCATGGAATTTATATTATTAGGAACTCCCATTAAATCCTCAATTGGTTTTGGTGTCAAAATGACCTTTTCTTCTTTTTTCATAATGTTATGATTAGAAATTGGCAAATGTTGCTGTCTTGCCATCATATGCTGTTGTTGGGTTGTCATTGGTAATTGATCGAACAAGGATGTTGGTGGCATAGAGTTATGCATGTTAATATTATTCATATTGTTGACATTCATCATATTCATTCCATTACTCATTTGCATATCCATATCTGTTTTCATCATTCCAAATCCATTGTTACTAGAACCAATCATATAAGAATCCTGTTTGATTGCTGGTATATTCTGGGTAATTTCCATATCTAAACTGTGCATAACCGAGTTATGACCTGCCATATCAGCCATGACATTATGCATGTTCCCAGGGATCATATGTGAAAAATTAGGCTGCACCATATCTCTTTTGCCTAAACTTTGTTCAAGACTGGCCAAAGAATGCTCTAAGGGATCAATCATGAACTGGGATTGAGGAGAAGGTGGTTTAAGTTGAGGCATTGCCATACTGCCTAAACTCCGATTTTGTTGCATACCAACAGAACTATTCAATAAATTATTGTTATGCATCATATCATTCATTTGCGAATTCATATTAGGCATTGTATTGTTCATTACATTCATTCTGCTTTGAATAGATGGTTGTTGAATAGCAGATGTAGTTTTGACTAATTCATTCTGGGTTATGGTGTTCAAACTCTGTTGCGATGTAATAGGCATGATAGGTTGAGTCATAGCTGGATTAGCCATTACAGGTTTAATAACTTCGGGGGTTGATATCAATTCATCTGGCAAAATTGGTCCATTATTATTAGAGTTTGCAATTGGCATATTTGTCGTTATACCAGTATTTTGAACTGGTTTAGTTATTGAAGTAACAGTATTGTCAGTGGTTGTCACATTACATAAAGGAGTCGATGTAATTGCAGGAGCCACTACTGGTTTACTTATTGCATTCTGCACACTAATTGAAGCAGTAGTCACAGTCGATTTCTTAAAAAAAAAAATAATAATATATATATATATATATATATATATATATATATAATTTTATATATATATAAAAATGCATTTCTATCATTTTAAAAAATATATTATAGAAACATGAACATATAAAGACAAAATTATCAAATTTTATATATATATATATATATATATATATATATTTATATATATAAATATATATTGATAAAACTATGAACATCCAAACTTTTCGACATCTGGATGGAAGTCTGTTTAAAAAGATTATAGTTTTATCAATATCTTTATCCCAATCTGAAAAAAATATCAATATATATATATATATAAAACAAAAAAATTTTTAATGATATTTTAACTTACCGGTACAGCAGGATTTGTAACAGGCGATGTATCAGTCTTTTTGGTTTTTTTCCTAGATTTGGTGCCACCTGTGAAACAAGACAATCAGAAATGTAGTTAATTACTCCAAATGATTCATCTGTTATATAATATGTGATACTCACAATAAATGCTAAGGAGCAGGAGCCAATATAATTTGAGCACTCGTTTAGCTGACTTTATATACCAGATCAAAGTTAATAAAATTCACTATTTTATCTAAAGCTAGTATTGTATATAATTCAATGTTAGAAAACAATAACAAATAAATTGCATTGGTACATTCAAAATTATTTTAATACGATAACTAGAAAGGAGCTGATTGATTCGGATGTAACAGTATAGCAATCCCAGATTATTTATATTTTATTAAAGTTTAATACAAAGATCAAATCAATACTTTTAAGAAACTACATAAATAAGAATCATAGAAGTACAAGATATGTAAAAAAAATAAGAAGAAAATAATAAGGCAATGACATTCAAAGAATGTATTATATTTCATAAATCACTTATATAGCACAATATTCATGTTGTTAATTGAATTTTTTTCACAAGATGTCGATTAGTGCAAACAATGTGTAAAGAAGGGACAGACAGCATAGATTTTGACCATAACAACTTCAAACACATTTTTATCACCGGTGATCTATAGACTAACTTAATAAAAATACATTATCCCATTACAAAAATATGGCTTGCGCAAAATGGTGGTACACCATAAAAATATATTACACATTGTCTGCATAATAGAAAATCGAAACCGATTTCAGCCCCTTTTTTGTTAATAAATAAGATATTTTCGAAAACACTAAAATTACTTCAAAATTATGTCAAAACATCGAAATTATACGAAATAAGATACATGTATTTAAATATCAACATGCTAGACCCAAAAAAACTTTGATCTGGTATATTTGTCACGAAAATAATGTTAGATAAATTGGTTAAGTTCTTCACCAATTTTGCTATGATTTGTTTTGTAATTGTCAAGGATATTGGCTGCCCCTCCTTTAACATATTATTGCACTTAACACCACCATGTGTTTGTTGCACTGTGAAGAGATCATCTACCGAAAGTTTAAAAATTGGTATGATTCTCATAAATTATTTTTTTTACCCATATTTATATAAGAAGATTATACTCTTTTATAATAATTTTTACAAAACATCGACTTAGAAGAAAGCATACCCAATTTTTAAACTTTGATCAAAATAGTTATATAATGATCGTTGGCCTTCAAGATTAGATCTTGAAAATATAATGAATATATCATTATATATATATATATATATATATATATATATATATATATATATATACATATATTCAAAAAAATGTATTTCCTAAAACTGCTTAAATACTAAATTTACTCAAAGTAATGTGAAATTTTGCGTTGATAGTATATGATAAGTTACTTTTACAATTATTATAAGTGACAATTCTTATAATCATAGTATGACAGATGTATGTTTAAAGAAAAGCATTTAGAAATGAGAAAAAAATACGCTATGATCCCTCATACAATATAAACATTTTTTCTGTACATTTAACATGAATATATTTAATTAATATAAATATTTTCGGTAAAACTAAAAAGTAAGTCAAAAGTAATTTGTCTTTATCTATGGTATGAACAATGTATTAGAAACTTTATTTGGATTAAAACTTATTTTTATTTTAGTCAATTTACAATTAAAATAAAAACAACCGAAAATATAATGTAGAAGTGGACAAGAAATCAGGCTTGAAAATATTTGTATTTGTATTCCATTACTGTCGTAAATGAAAACTTTTGATCAATAAATAATAGTATTTCTTGGATTATAAATAACAGTCTTTAAACATAAATATTTTTGCGATACGTTTCTTATTGGGGATATTTAATTTTTTTTGAATGATATTAAGATGGCACATCAAACATTCTTTCTTTATTAAATATTTATTGTTAAAATGTATGTTCTTAAAAGATATCAAATAACTAAAATAAATAATATTGCTGATAAATAAAATTTAATATAAAATCTCAAATCATACGCACATATAATATCGATTGCAATAGTGCAGGCAACAGATAGGAAAATTATTACTTTTAAATCGTTTATGTACAATTCGGCAGTGATTTGATATACATATTACGTATTATCCAATAAATTCTTATATTTGTAACAAGCAAAAAATCCAATAATTTGTTTTCTAAAGTTTCACTAAATTGATAAATGACTTGAAATCAGCCTCAACTTTAAAGCTCACGAAGAGACGATTGTATGAGCATATTTTAAGTATGGTCGATTTATCTTTACGCCTACGAAATTATCATTATGATAAAACACGCCACCACAACCTTTGAGGCTGATTTGAATAATTTGATTATATTTATGAATTATTACATTTTCTAATTTTTTAATTCTTATGAAGTAATATCAAAAATGGAATATCTAATTTTTTGTCTTTTGAGAAAAAATATTTTATTAATACTAAATTATTTTAAATCAAAATAGAAATGTATGCCATATGAAATATTTTTTAAATATTAAATTGGGCACAAATACAATATAACCATCTGATAAGTCACGGAAATAATGCAAATTCTTGAGGATTTATATAATATTATATAAATTATGATTTTATTTTATCAAGAAACTCTCAGTGAATAATAAATTGTTGTTAGCCTAGTAATCGCGTATGCCGATGCACGAACACGACCGACTTAAGTTTTAAAGTGCTCCAACCACGTTTAAAATATTCGAAAAGTACGTATTTTAATTTAAGAAACGGGTCAATTGCAAGCCCTTTAATTGAAACATTTACCGGGCATTTCTTTATTACTAACTTCTACAAATATATTAAGAGTTATAAAAAAAGCTGTGATATTGCATAAATTAGACGTATTAAAACGCAAAACTCTAAAACTATTACATTTTTAAATAACAGCTTTTAATTTTAATTAAATGTGCACATCTATATATCAAATTTAATAATATATGCATACACAATTTAAAGTCAAAAAACAAAAAAGTAACATGTCAAGTTATACCTCAATAAAAACTTATCACGTGAAAATATTCATGTATTATATTATTAATTTATATTTTAATATATATATTTAATATATGCTTATCTTAATTTAAAATTCTCATCGGTAATAAATCTGTACAAAGTTACAAATACTAAATTAAACACATGGTATATAATAGTTAAGATAAACGACTTCACAAACACACATCTTTATAAATTTATACCTATCATTTAATAATTTATGTTTATTTTTATATGTATATATATAAATCTATCTATCAGATATTTTTAAGTGCTTTCAATAATTGCACTTTAGTCAAATCATTATTATTATGATGTTCTTAAACGATAATAACAGAATATTATCAGTCATTAAGAATTAGATATTAGCTTTCAAGCCAGACATTCTTGTCAAACTATAAAAAAATTCAATACAACCATTTTAGTAGGTTACAGGAAAGGCTATGAACAGAATACTAATCCTCAAAATTTAAATGAATTAAATATTTGAAGCCGTTTGATTGAAATTAAAATATTAAAAGATATGTATTTGTGTAATATTAACACAACCACATGAATCTAAATTAATAATTGTTCCCAAATAATTACTGATACTATATCTCAAATGACTGTTTAATGTTACTTTTCGTAAAGTAATGTTTAAAATTCATTGTCATCATCAATTCACTTTCGAACTAAAATATTTAAAACAAAGAACATTTCCGCAAAAACGACTTACTACGCGACCGTTAACAAATTGCAGTAAAATGTTTCATCAAAATTATATGTAATATGACTACTAAAAGCCAAAGCTATTTATTTCGGTTCATACGTTGCATTATGATATAATGCATTTTCGGCAATGACTCATTATTTAAAATATCAATGAAGAACAATTAGCGTGTAGAACAATGAAGAATATATTTCGATTGAGAAAAAAAACATTCCGATTCTAATATACGTAAATAACTGCAAAGGTGTATGTATGAAGTGATACTTTCGTCAATTTTATAAAAAATCATTAATGATGCACTTATAGCAGATTCTAGAAGCACTTACAAAACTGACAATATAAAATGAACGATCAAGAAATCTAATATTGCAGTCACAGTGTACATATTTAAATAAATAAAGTATAGAAAAACGCAATAAATCATACTATTAAAATGCTTGAAAGAAAAAGAGAAAGAAATAAAATATAATATTTCATTTCACTTGTTTGATCTGTATGAAAAAGTTTGCAGTTATTTATTTCTATCCCCTTTAGAAAATCCATGTGTTGATGACACATGCATGAGCATATCACGGTTTTGCAATGCATTGTGAGAATATACAAAATCGAAATTAGTCACACATCTTTATGTGTATGTATACATGAATTATTCATTGTTCACAAAACAGTAGTTTTGTCTAATTAAATCTAACAAATAAGAAAGTTCTAAAAGCTTAAATATTATTTACATTATAAAATATCAATTAACAGTCAATAAGAAGTGGTGAACAGATCACACATTTATACACTCATTAACATGTATATATTTCCAAATATACACATACACATAAATATATACACAAACAATCAGAAAGTTTGTGATACGTTTGCTCTTTACTACAAAGTGTAGTAGTAGCCATACAAATAACTTTTTTTAAAGACCTTGTTTCGAACGAATCGCGTTTTGCATTATTGTTGTTGTGGCTAACCTGCTTCGCTATCGGAAGAGTCTGAAGAACTCGAATCTGATGAACTGGACGACATTGAACTGTCCGATGAAGAACTGCTTGAAGACAGTCGTCCAGCAGCCGAGGGGACGGCATCAGCTTTACCGGTTTCGTCTGTTGGGTTAAAAATATTGTATGTATTAGCAGTTAATGAGAAAAGAGGTTGATGCAAAATTAAAAATGCACCACTACAAAATGTCAAGAAAATTTGCATTTAATCATGAATAATAAAAATAGAACAGATTTTAGAATGAAAAATTATTCCCTTGGATTAGTATATGATCGATATATTATTACCGCGACTCAACATATGATCATTATAGCAAATACGTATCGATGTAATTTGAAAATAAAAATGTAATATAAGCACCTTTTCCTTTTTTGTTTTGTTTCTTGGCAGTTCCAAGTTGACCAGTTACATCCTGAAGTCTCTTTTCTAACTCTTGTTTTTTCTCAGCCATTTGTTCATCTTTTGATTTTCCAGACACCTTCTTGTCTGAAAAAAAAACGAAAACAATTACTAACAATTATTATAATTTAAAAAGTAATAAGCAATTACGCAGAAAGCTTGACAAAACCATAAATAAGAAAAGCAAAAAAATAATTTCACATGCAACTTAACTTATTGTAGACGTAAATGTACTCAGATCAATTACGAAATGCTTCGAAAATATATTGCAAAATATTGATGAACTAATGTAATGTTGTAGCACCGCACAATTCCATAAACAATCAGGCGTCAATGAATAAACTTATTAAACAAGTTATGTTTAAATAAACAACTGATTAAACACAATAACGATTATGAAACAACGTTTTCATGCAAAAATGAAAACATCTAACTATGCAAGATATCTTTAATTTAGCATAACATGGTAAAGCTCGATCTCATTTTCGATTCATACAAAATAAAGACAAACAATACGAATCAATATAACATATGCCAAAATCGTAATATTTGTTTACATAATAAAAATATAGAAATCATTCATTCATAGAATAAAAATATTTTGAATTTTTGAAAACGAAATTATGGAAAGCAGCAAATGTTATTAACAAAATAACACGCGCGGATATTATTCTATTATTATATTTAACAAAGAAAAAAAATAACAGTCGCATATTAATTCGAGTCGAGAAAGAAAAAATCATGAATGTTTTTTTCTATAATCATAGATAGAGGGTTATTTCGTACATTTATCGGATTTTGATAAGTTGCTTACGAATTTAGTTCCAACTCAAATGAAAATTAAAAACCAAGAAATATAGACAATATTTACAACTTTAATTTTTAATAGTATAGAATTTAGGTTACATAAGATGTTTGAAAATTGTTTCAAAAATATTTTACAATAATGTAAGTCTACTCTTACAATATACATCTGCCTGAGTTAGTTATCAAAACGCAAAAACAACCCCAATTAAACGCCCCATAGAAAGATTATTTTCAAAGATTCCGTTATAGTTTTTAGAAAAGTGCTATATAATATTACTGAATTTTTAAGCAGTTATATTTAAAATTGGGAAGAGGAGAAATATCAAACAAAATATGGAGAAAAAACTAAATTGAATTGATTGTATAAAAAAAGAAGGAAAGATCATATGGCTTCTGGTTCAAGTCTGTTTTAAATGGATAAATATTAATGTAGATAATTTGGATGTGATGTTAATTAATTCGTAAGGATTATTCAATTGGTTACCTTTACCATCAAGTGTAAGGATAACAAAAACGTTAATAATTTTCATATTTAAATCTTTATTTAATAAATTCTACGTATTTATAATAAGTATATTACATTATAAAATATATTAATTTATAGTAGTAATTTGCTTTAAAAGAATATTTAATAACTAGAGAAATAATATTACAATTTTAATGCTAAGATTATACACTAGTAGATTCAGTCATTTTTCATCTTATTGGAAATTTTTGAGTCTCAGGGTAATTAAAATCTTATTTAATAAATGATTTTTGCTTCTAGAGTGTAACTGCCTCACGTAAAACAACGTCATTTTGTTTGTGTTTTATCTTTATAATAAAATATAAATGCAATTGTATGATAAAATAATCCAAAATAGGATAACTGTAATTATTAACTTCTGAAATGAGACAGACGAATTTAGTAAAAATCATATAAAAGTATACATGTTCCCAATCACCTAAAAACAATTAAAGACTAGTTATTATCACAGGATTTGATATGTCCAGAAATGATTATTTCAATAGTTACCTAAATTAACAAGATTAAACAATTGATGAATTAACTCAGATATTGAATGTTGCTAGAGTATTTTAAACAGACTAAAGTTGAAGTTATATTATTACCTTTATACGTTTTCCTAGACATTTCGACAATACATCATATAATGAAATTAAACGATTGTTACCTCAAGCCATATGATAATGCCTCTCATCTTAACTAAAATAATCCAACACCTATGAGAATTCTGACAAACACATGTTGGAAAGCTTTTGCAAAAGCATATTTATGCTGAAAGCACAAGTTATAAAACATTTGACGTAGCACTAGCGGTTCAATTCCGCACGCTTGACAGAATTAACTCATGTATTAGATCAGATTCTTAAGATATGACTAAAAGTAAATTTTAAGTGATACATGTGCTCCGACATTATCTCCTCTTCTCAATTGAGACCCGCTTTAAGTTCAAATAATGGGACAAACACATTCAAGTAACAACAAAATCAACCATCCTAAATAAAAATCTAATAAAAATAAATTGAGAAAAGATTGTAAATACTAGATAAAATTAGTCAACAAAATAATATCAAAAAGAATCAATAAGAAATAAAAAAAATACTGCATAACTTCTGTAAACCTATATCAGTTAATATATATATATATATATATATATATATATATATATATATCACAAATATACCACACCAAATATAACTACCATGCTTAGTATAGTGATTAGTTCCAATGACCTACGCTCGGTCACGATCACACTAAGTAAACACATGTTTTCGAACTAATTTAAATGTTGCGATAGATCTTTTTAAATTAAAGGTTTGTTAATATTACTAGTTCGGATAGTTATTCACAAATTTTAAAAATGTTAATATAAACAAAATGATTATTATTACAATTTGGACCATAAAAACAAATTGGCGCGTAAAAAATAATGAATGAATAAAGCAAAATTAAACGAATCATAATATCTAATTGACTGCATATAAACAATAAATTAATGACTAATAAATTTAGTGCTAAGAATTGGTTTTATAGATCTATAAAACTAAGTTTAATTTTAATTAATAATAAAATTAAGTAGAGCAAAAATAAATTTAAAAATATAATGAATTACGTTTATAAATTTATGATAAAGTATTAAATTTATATATAAAAAGCATTTAGAATATATAAAAATGTGAATCTTTTAAAATATATATATATATATATATATATATATATATATATATATATATGCCGGCAATCAGATCTATAACAATTGATGAAAGTTAGAAATGCTAGAGTGTGTTTTGCTTTAAATGTCATTATGCTAAAAATTTAAAGCAAATATATATTGAGCTCTATCATAACGAAAAAAATAATTTAAATACATGAATTGGAATAGCTTTTAACATTAAATATTTTTTTTTAGCAGAATTCAAACTTAAACCAACTTAAAAAAATCTTCATTTTAAAATAAAATAATTGTATAAATTCTTCAATTTAACCTTCAAAGCAATTTTATTTTACCTCTTCTGTGTGCAACAACAAAATACTTGAGAGTTATACTAATTATATTCTCAAAATATTTCAAAATTATGTCATATTTTATAATTTAGGAATAAAAGTACATGGAGTATACTTTTATAAGATACTTTTGCTGGGACGAATCTATTAACACTATAATGTTAAATGATGATTTTAACGCTTTTAAATTAACAAAATTTCTTGTATATATTGTTTTATATATACAACATTTTCTCATAAAAATGAGAAAATACGCACAAATTATTAAACTTGTTTTCTTAGCTCGCGCGATTTTAATGTATTGAAGCATGCTTAGATTTTAGTGATCTGTTGTAATATGTGATCTCTCGATTTAGGCTCAACAAGCATCAATTTCAAGATGAAAATATAGCATTTCATGTAATATATTCAATTTGTAATTAATATTTGAAAAGCCCGTTGACTTTTCATATTTTTGGAAATAATCTCTGATCACACACTCATAGTCCTCTAACTTTCAAACCGCTTTGATAGACATTTTTAATTTATGGAGCAAGTTTCAAAATTATTTATGATATTATGTAAGTGCTTTCAAAGATAATGTGTTAACACTAGTGTGAAGTAATACACACTACTGGTTCACAGTGCAATCGTTGTTTTGACCAGGCGTACAGTTAACGGAACTTACAGTAAGGCTTACGGCTCTTTTTACGTAGACATGAAGCGACATAGCTCTCCAACTCTCGAAGCGTCGAAGGCTTCAAGGTCTCAAAATCTATTTCTATTTCATCAGGATTTGAATCTCTAAGGCTTGGCTCACGTGATTGAATGATGTGTACCACTCTTCCTAACTTGTCCCCTGCAAAAACAAATAATATTTATTTTTTTAGTAAATTTCTTAAGATGATAGATAATTTTTAACTTATCTCTATCAAAGATTCACAAACAGCTATTAGAGGAATAAAAAAATAAAATTAAACATAAATTAAAATTGGTTAACAGTTATACTACAGCGTTTTTTTATTTTGAAGACAATACAATAAACAAAAGACTAACAAACCTAATTCTTTAGGTTTCAGAAATAAATTGATGGAAATAAATTATGTATTTAAAATACTTTAATGTGAAGAATAATATAATAATCAAACCTGGCAATTTATTAATATCCAATGACAATTGTCGTTTCTCGTCGTAAGACATTGGTTTGGCCGTATCTTCTTCTTCCGATTCAAAGTCCAATGGTGCTTGTGCAGCCATACCCTTCTTTTTATTGGCTGCATTCGCTCCACTGCCTGCGGGACGACCGCTGCTTGCCTTCGGCCTCTTACCCGCGGCGCCACCTGTTGCACCAGCCTTAGGGCCGCGCGTGCCAGCTGAAAAATCATTCATATAAATATTTACTGCACATATTGATAATTAACAAATCTTCATACTAGAATTAATAAACTGTCATTACACCGTCATCAACCCATGTAAAAAGAATATATAAAAAAGATACTTAGTGATAATGTTGTACAAGCAAAACAGAAATGAGGATAAAAAAGTTGAGAAAAAAGCAAATCAAAATAAAAAACATTATTTTCAAGCATTACAATAATGGTTTATGGTTATGAGAACATGTAAAACCAAAATAATTATATAAAATAATATGAAGCATCAAGCACAACATGAAATGCATTTTGATTTAGAGGTAGGATAATATAGAACTAAAAATGCAATAGTGGTAATTAATGGGAATGAGAATAATTAGCACCTTTGGGTCCTTTAGGCCCTTTAGCGATTGGCGTGGAGCTAGTGGTAGCTGCCGTGTGATGCAGTGCAGATTTCTGATTATGATGAATGGTTGAATGCCCGTGTATATCACCGGGAATCTTCACATCTCCTGCACCCATCGCCACATTTGCTATACTAGCCCCTGCAAACAAATCACCCGATTTTAAACTATTAATTTAATAATTTTAAAATTACTGTTCTGGCCCATTTGAATATTATTAGGACAACCAAATAAATAGCTCAGCACACATTTTGATCCACTATTGCATTTTTAAAACCATATTACAATATATTTTGATTACGAGATTACGCATAAATGAATACATGTAGTGATTATATATATTATGTTAAATTAAATGAATGACAACATGCTATTAAAATAATTACATAAAAGGATTCTACAAAAGCAAGAAAGTTTGTAAAAAATTAATTAACCACATAATTCAAAATTGCTATCAGCATATAACTAGAGAAAAAAACTTCTAAATTATTTTTAGTTATGATAGCTTTCTTAATGATTAATCTTTAAGACTTCAAAAAATAATGAAAAGAAAATTCTTGAATGATAAAATAAAGATAATTCCAAAATCAAAAAAAATTTAAAAATCAAACAATTACATGTTAATATTATAAAATTATTTACCTATACTATCTGTGACTGAATTTTGTTTCGACAAATGAGATTGGGCCATGGCCATGGATTTTCCAGTTGCACTAACATTTGGTATAGCACCAGGTTTCTTTTTGTCTTTCATTTTTTTCTTGGACTTCTTTTTGGAACCTGATGCCTCAACCAACTTTCTCATTTTCTCCTGCATTGCCAACAGTTCTTGTTCCAGCACCTTCAATTGAATGAAATATCTCATTTATTTATCTTGTTTACTGAGACTTGTTTAGCACAAATATAATATTTGACAATATAAAGATAAATGATCAAAGAAATATGCTAAAATTTGCAAAAATAAATATTAATTGAATATAACTACAAATTAAGATTGATTACAAATAAAATTTAATCTCTATTAATTATTAATTATGGCTGTTGATCTCTGAAATAAAAGCAAAAAAAGTATACAGATCTGCCAAAAATGCATAATGTTGATATTGCATATGCACATATAGACTTGACAAAAAAAAAAAACTAATATACAGTATGAAAAATTACATGGCACAAATATAAAAAGTTAGGTGTATTATGTATATACTAATGTAATAATACTAATATAATTTATGAGAAATTTTAAACAAAATAAAACAGAATTTGTCTATAGAAACTAGAATATAGTTTGTATCACCTTTAATTTAGAATTCCTCTCTTCTTCTGTATCATCACTATCACTTGAGCTTTCACTATCACTACCAGAACTACTACCCGATGAATCTTTATCCATGCCAGTTAGGCCCATATGACCAAGTGGCTCGTCAGGAATTTTAGAGAATCTAAAAAAAAAATTATATTAATTTAATTTATAGAACAATATATAATACAACTAAAATATATCATAACCATTCCATTTGGGGAAATAAATATTGAAATAAATAAATGAATGATCAATAAATCAAGACTTAACATATCAAATAATAAAGCATTTTGTAAAAAAAATCTTTTTCTGAGCTAAAACTTTTTTCTAACAAAAAGTTGAATAAATGAGCATTTTAGTAACAATTATTATGTTATCAAATAGTACATGAAAGAACAACAATAAAAATGTTTATCAGCATTATCATATACATATTATATAATTTTTTATATATACATATTCTTTTTTATTGTCATAGTCATATAGATTTCAAAGGCAGGTTCCAATATGAATATAAATAAGATAACTGATTAATAAAGCATGCATAAAAGCCTTTCAAATGACATTTCGTAACACTAATTATATAAACTTTTGTAGATACTTCAGAAATACCTGTTCTCAAAAATATCTTGCAATTTTTTGGCCATAGTTACTACATCATGATCAGGTGGATTGTATCGATAACAATTTGTAAATATCAATCTAACATCTGCAGCAAAATCAGCAGCTGTTCTATATTCTCTATTATCCATTTTTTGTTTTACTGTCCCTAGATCCATTGGCTTAGTAATAATTGTATGATAATCATGCAGACCTAACATGACTGCATCCACAGGCTTATAGAAAGGCCATGCACAACTCTGTAAATTTTAGATTTATATTGAGCAATATTTGTATAAATTTAGTGAAGGAACCTATTCAGAATATTATTTCAATTAACAAGACTTTAGATTAAAAGTAATGTTCTTTGACAACCTTATAAATTATAAAATAAAACATTACTGAAAACTCATACTTTGTCCTATGTAAATGAGGTAACCCTGTTTTAGACATACCGAATGTTTTTTAGAGAACAGTTCTTTCAAAATTTCATTGCAAGACTTGAGAGAATCAGATAATTTTTCCTTCATTTTTTGTTGACCTAGGACTGCTTGTTGACTAGCAGACATGATTGGCATCACAGTAGCTTGATGAAATGGTACCAAACCATCCTGCTCCGGTCGTGATGGCTAAAAAAAAACAATTTTAGGTTAACATTATTTATATACTCATTATTTTAGAAAACAAATCAATGCAATGTGAAACAACAATGTAATGTAAATCAAATATAAACTATATCATATATCAACCTTTTTAATTTGCCGACCACTTTCCCGCCTAGTGGATATTTTGGCGCTTTTAGATTCCATGGGACTTGCGTAATGAGCATCATAAGCTGTTGCGGTTGGAGTTGTTGTATCTGCTTTTCTTTTGACGCCTTTCTTAACTTTGGCAGGTGCTTGAGGTGGTAAAACTGGAGACGCTACTACGTCTGCCAATGGGTTATTTAAAGGCTGGGATGGAACATGAAAACTTAAAGGATCTGTTAACGGTGAAACCCCTAAAAATAAAAATTTGTAACATAAAAACTTACTTCATATAATAGTCTCCTTATACTAAGATCAAACAATGTGTTATTTTAATGAGTTCATTTACTATTATGTAATTAAAAGATTATTAAAAATAGTGATAGATGCAAGAAAAAATTAATAAACAATCATCTAAATTTAATATACTCAAATGAATTTGACATTTTGATCAAAAAATTTAAAGATATTAGAATTTATGATATATATAAAAATAAGTATTATTTTATAATATTTAAGAATAGTACTTGCCTAACACCGAACATATTTCCAAAACATTGTTACTAATCATGATTGTATTTCATTAGACATACAATAAAATAATTCTTGAATAATGATATATATTAGCTTATTGATGATTTTGTTTTTAACATACTGAGACAACATATGAAAAACAAGTGAAATATGTTTTTATATTCTATAATTATTAATATATATTTCATATTATGTATCTAACTGAAAAATTCTAAAAATATAATGTGAAGATTATATAAAATATAAGACAGAAAGAAATTGTCACCGAAATTAAATGCACATTCATAAAAAAAACTTACTCAAATCAATTCTCACATTAGTGAAACTGTAAATTGAATAAATGAGAGTGTTCTCACAAATTTTCTTTTGAGATAAAAAAATGCATACTAATGCCTAGAGAAAAACTAACTATTACAGCTACTATAAAATTAACTAAGAACTAACCTTGAGCAGAGACAGATGATACAGAATTATGCGCTATAGAATTTGATGCAGGTATTGCGGTTGTTGTCGTATTTGTGCTGCCAGGTACTGAGTGAGGTGCACCAGTACCTATTGATAAAATAAATGATCACATATGCAATAAAAACATCAAATAAAACATCATGTGCAATCAAAACAATTATGGCAATTGAAAGACATGATATTTTAAAATAATATTCAAACTAATCAAATTTGAAGATAAAATATCTACCTATAGCAGGTATTGCTGGAATAGGAATGGCATTCGGTACACTAGATGATACTGTTGAGCCAAGAGATGAGGACGGTCTTCCTCTGACACTACCAACCAGAGTTCCTGGAGGAGCTAAGGATCTAGGTTTCTTTTTCTTTGCTCCTTTTTGTGTAGGTGCGTCTACTTCAATTTCATCCTTAGGCATTACAGCAACCTAATAACAATTTAATTATATAAGAAATTTTTCTAGTTTTGAATATAATTTTAATTTGAAATTCTAACGATTTAAAATAGAGTCATTAATGTTTTACAAATAGGGTGTGTATGTATGTGTTGAAAATCATACTGATTAGTTTTGGTTATACATAGTCCAGGCCGTTTCTTGGCATATCAATGTGAAAAATGTTTTGACCATTTTGATTAATTTTTTATTATAAAAATTCATTGAGGTTCAAATGAATGAAAATACAGCACGTGTGTCCAAAGTGTGTGTTCATGTAATTGAATAGCTGAGTGCTTACGAGGGCACATTAATATACAATATCATTTATTATTTATACATATCAGGAAGTTCAGGCATCTCTTAAACCAAGATGTCATTTACACCAAGATTTTGATTTCAGTTACCTTAGTCAAAAATAATTTTTCCAATGTCTGAGCCATAACAACTACGTCTTCACCAGGTTTATTATATACATAGCAGTTTGTAAACATTGTATTGAAATCTTGTATACATTCTTTGCCTGACCAGTAATAGTTGTGCTCTAATCGTTTCTTTATTGTTCCCAAATCCATAGGTTGTTTGATAATTTTATGGTAATCCTTAAAAGAAACAAGATCAAATGTCAATAATTATAATTTCTATGTTAAAAGTTTTTGTAGAACTAATACCAGAACAATTATTGCCTTAAACAAAAATCGAAGTGTTTTAAAAATGCAATAATGAGCAGTTGACACAGTTTAGATACTTTGATTACAGTTACATCAAGATCTTCAAGGTTTAATCAATATTTTTATCAGTCATATCAGATTTTTGGTAAGATTATTAAAAACATGATCAATATTATATTAAACAACAAATATTTTATTCTAATTAAGCATTATTCTGATACTTCGAACTTACAGGTAAATTTAATTCGGCCGCATCGACAGGTTGTCGAAACGGCCAAGCAAATCCATGTTTCCATACAGCTTTTAAAACCGTTTTTTGAAGATATTGTAATTGATTGGTGACACGGCCGGGTCTGTCAGGAGGTGGCAAAACTGGAGGTTGAACAATACCTTAAGGAACAAAATAATTTAATTAGAATGCATAGAAAAACAAATTTATGTGTAAAAAACTATGTTCGTTTACCGTTCTACTTTGGTCCAGTCATTTGGTGCAAAAAATGGCTGTTGCCGGTACAGTACTCCGGGAATTCTGAAAATTAGTAATCTTATAGATTTCGAGGTGCTCTTTACGAAAATCATCTTTGCCACCTCTAATTTGAACGGCAAGTTGCCGCCATATTGGAAAAATGGCGTCAAAAACAGATTTTTTAAAATAGCTCCTTTCTGGTTTATTCTACGATAAAAGTATCTATGTAAGAATTAAACTAGATAAAATTTCCTACAATTCTTTAGAAACCCGTTTTTTTTGTAAAATTGATAGTTTGAGAGTACGGCCGCCTCAAAGTCTTTGCTGCTCTCGCCGTAGTATCAAATCTCTCCATATATGACAGCACTTTGAACTTGACCATATTCTCTCTAATAAATAAATATTTTCAATGTTAAATTAAGCGAATAAGATCTAGAAATAAAATAATTCAAATATTTTTCTGTTTTTTTGCTGATTTTTTAACACTTCAATAGCAAAGTAGCTATAAACAAAATTAAACTAGAGAAAACTTTCTATAATTTATTCAATATCTTTTATTCTGTTAAACCAATTATTTTATTTCTAGATCTTATTCGATTAATTTAACATTGAAAATATTTATTTATTAGAGAGAATGTGGTCAAGTTCAAAGTGCTGTCATATATGGAGAGATTTGCGACTACGGCGAGAGCAGCAAAGACTTTGAAGCGGCCGTACTCTCAAACTATCAATTTTACAAAAAAACAATTCTAAAGAATTGTAGGAAATTTTATCTAGTTTAACTGGTACATAGATACTTTTATCGTAGAATGAGCCAGAAAGGAGATATTTTAAAAAAGCTGTTTTTTGACGCCATTTTTCCAATATGGCGGCAACTTGCCGTTCAAATTTGAGGTGGCAAAGATGATTTTCGTAAAGAGCACCTCGAAATCTATAAGATTACCAATTTTCAGAATTCTCGGAGTACTGTACCGGCAAAACGACCAAATGACTGGACTAAATAATGAATATATTAAACACATTAAACCTTATTTTAAATTTTAATACTTGAATATTATATTTTTAAATGTCTATATCCAAATATAATAAATATTTGAATGAAAAGTAGTGGTTTACATCACTAGTAATGGATAAAAATGTTTTATGTCCAAGTAATAATGATAAAGACATCATAATTTGAATTAAATAAGTTTTAGAAGTTTCTGTTACAACTATTATTATTATTTACTAAAAATCCTCACCATTGACAGGTTCTAAAGTGTTTGTGCCGGTTGTGTCGGAGGAAGCACGATTTGGTGCCGCCGCACCGCCATCCTTGTTTTCCATGACGGCTGATATCGAATTGAATTGGGGTAACGGTGAAGAAGAATCTATCGGTAATAATAGTGCCGAATCCAAATCGACTTTAGTTTGTGCGGTGTTATTGCTGATGTCGGGCGATAGACTAGGAAATGAAAGATCTAAAAGAGATACTTGGTTCACCGCGATATCCTCGACGATTTGAGTTTTTGTTGTTTGAAGATTATGTTGTTTGATGTTGGTTACTTCTTGAAGTACGGGCTGTAAAAATGAGAACAAGAATTATATAAAAATGATATAACAAACAAATAAAATATTTCAAAATTCTTTTTTTAAAAAAACTCAATCCTGAGGTATTGGAAATTGATTTATATAAGATTTTTTTATTAAAAAATAATAGATTTAATTTTCAAGATTGATCCTTCATCGACAGTTATTAATGAATATTATAATGGGTTATCAGTTCCCAAAGCTTATCAAAATTCAATTACCAATGCCATCTTATTATTAGGCAACTATTGTGGCTGTCTATCTTATAGATGTTTACATAGTCCAGTCATTTAAGCTTAAATGAAGTAAGAGTCTCGGAACTCGAGATACCCAGCTGTAAGTCAGTAAATATTTGCGAATTGACACTAAAAAGTTGTCTCAAAATCTACATATGGTAGGTACACTCTACCATATGTAGGTTTTGAGACAACTTTTTAGTGTCAATATACAAGTATTTACAGACTTACAGCTGATTATCTCGAATTCCGAGGTGAACTTACTACAAGGACTTGACGCATTTAGTTTCTTCAAGTCTGAACAAAATTAATATACACATCTTTCGCCGTGATTAATTATATAAGGATTATTATATATTTTATTCATTTTAACAAAATATTTATCTTTAATTATTAATTGATATTGTAGGAGCGTTCTTCATCAATTTAAAAATCTTAAGAACTCATAATTTACATCTCTGAATAAAAAAAAGTACTCATTTTTGTCCAGATAATTGGGGCACTTTCGCGCTCGTGCTACTGTTAAATTTCTCGTGCCGCAGTTAAGTATCGTAAAAAAGTCAGTATATAAATGTATCAATAATGTCATTTTCATTATGTAGACCGATTTACATATTTCCATCAATTTACATCATATAAGTACATTATGAAAGTCGCTTCGATGGTAAATGACTCAAGTTTCACTTTAATAATAATATTGAGATTTATATTTAATAAAAATCAAGATATAACTTTCAAAGTTAGTACCATATTTTAAAAATGTAATAATTTAAGTTCAATAAAGAAGTTTAAAACAATGAAGTAAAGGCTATTATTTTCATATAGATGTAAAAATATGAAAATGTAATAAAACTTCGTATTTGTATTTAGTACTCATTATAGATAGTGAAATGCTGCTCATTTCAAATTGGGCTAGTGATAATTGCAATTGGTGTTACTGAATATTTCGAATTGTTTATATTGCTGGAATAAGCAAAATCACAAATTTTTAAATGTGTAATTAGCAGCAACATATATGTAGTTATGCAACAATGTTGTGCTAAATATTAAGAACCTATCAAGCAAATATTTTCCAACGCCCGCAAATATTAAATTGCTGACGTACGATTATTATCTTCTCAAGAATAATGTTTTTTTTCTGATAAATAGAACATAATATTTTCGAACACATCAAATAGCGATCACTCGGTGTTTTTATACTTACAAACATATTTTCGGTACTATTATCCACTGTTTGCATAATTCTTTCGTAATATAGTCTAACGCTACCGTCTTCAAGAAAGAGTTGAGACATTTTTACAAAATCACGAAATTGGAATTTACGTATAACGTATAATCAATATTAAGCGTTATTTTGTTAGTTGATTATAACGACTACTAAGATACCTACCAAATGTTGAAATATTTTATACATTATTCGAAATTACTTAAATTATTCAATACCCATGGAATTTTCAAAAATAATCAACTTTTGAAGTTAATTATTTCAAGTTGTATCTCGCATAATATTTTTGGAAATTATATTTCCAAAAATATTTTTTCCCCGTCATGTTAACTTGATTTGAGTTTGATCAACCGATGGCCACTTTGATACTTGCATAAATTTTGTTTGCGCTGATTATGATAATCGAATGCATTTTAGAAAAACAAATTAGCAATGCCTTGCAGTCATTAAAAATAATAAAATAAATATTTAAAATATATTATATAACGTAGGTGTCATAATTAGAAAATGGCCAATGTACCACAATACAATGTCAATAATCAATAAAAAAAACATGCATTTTAGTAAGTAATTTAATGGTTGAACAAACAGCTGCTTCAATCGTTTTTTTTTTACATGTTACGATTATTGCACAAAAAGTATAAAATTAATAATTATTTTAATTAACAATAGAATAAAAGAAATCTTTGAAAATTTTAAACAAAATTTCAAATCATTTTGAAAAATATATAAAATCAACATATTTCTCAAGTTTTCGGAAAATAAATTTTCATGAAATTTGATTGTTAGAAATATTCGCAGTATATTAAATTAAATTTAATATTATGAACTAATTACATTAATGCATTAAACATGCCACATAAAATATATTCTTGTTAAACATTAACTTAAAATAATTATGATAAATGTAATAAAATAAAACAACAATGCAAAATGGTACGATAATTTATTCAATTTAATTCGATATTAAAATTGATTTTGATAATAAACATGAGTTAGATAAAAGCATAATATATTTTGAATATTTTATTTTATAATATTGGATAAAAAGCTCGGTAAATTCCCGTATCTCTTGAATCGCCTACTTCTGTCACCGTAAAAATATAGTGGAAATTTTCATTTCATGCATGCGAAAATATAGTTCACACTCTAGAAGTTAAATTTCGGAATAATAATAGCAATGAATAAGATGATTGGGTACATGCTAAAATATTAAACACAAATTTACTAAAATTCAAATATATATCTATAAACATTATTCCACAGATTTACAAACGCTGTTCATTCGAAAAGCAAGAGCGTAACATAGGACAGAATTACAAAGAAAGAGACATGATGCACAAATAGGTGAAATGGTGAAATGTATCTAACACTACAATATTAATAATACGTTACGCGTAAAACTAGAGTTGGTGCGCGCAGACATTACACAGTCAGCTCTTGAACAAGATTTAACTCATTGTATAATTATTTGTAAAAAAACATAAACAATAAAGATAAACGATCAGAATCCAAGGGTTTAACAAAGCTATTGAGTGTCATTTTTCTAACAGTTTGTAATTAATTATTTTGTATATAATGTATTATAATTTCTTCGCACTTTTGAGAAAACCACAAATCCGCGCGATCATAGTAACTAGGGAATGCAATACCGGTATACCAAATTACCGGTATACCGGTAATGACCGCCCGATTTTTCGGCGGTATTTTTACCGGTATTTACCCCAAAATTACCGGTATTTTCGGTATTTTTACATAATCGCATAAACAGCTATATCTTCAAGTGATTCTATAAGATAAACGAATGTCAAATATTGTCTCAACTCGTCATTAAACTGAATATTTATTGCTTTACTAAGGGCTTCATATCGTGTTACAATAAATAGAATTGGACTGATAGATAATGATGTTTGTTTCATCTTATGTAAAAATGTAACGGCTTTTTAAGTGATATTTGCGTCAAAATATGTTATATCATATAGATGATCTTTATTTTTTTCTAACTTTATACATAATAATTATGATAATTACTAAATATTTTTCCTTCTTATTACAATTATAAAATTTTATTTTTCGAAAACGTCTCGAAGTTTGAAAATACTATTTTTTCGAAGTTTGAAAATACATTGTTATAAAAAACAATACTCAACAATTATAGTAACTTCTTATTTATCTCGACAAAGTATCCAATCTTAAATTAGTGTAGAAAATTACTTATTTTAAATATTAGAGATTATGCTAATTTAACATATCGGATACAGACAATACAGTTTATTATAATAATGTAATATGATCTTTTATGAGTTTTTGGTCTTTCTTACTCATAAGCTTGTTTTTGGTGAAAAGTACTCAATATACTCGATAGTGATAACGAATTAATTAAATTGGATATAACTTTGTTAAATTATTATTTAAAAAAATAAAATTATTGTTTTATTTTATTGTTTAGTTGAATATAGTTGTAGTTGTTTATAATTTTTTTCTATATTTGTACTAGTACTTTCAATTTTGTTTACGTTTAAGATAATAAAAATACCGGTAATTTACCGGTATTCCGGTTTTAAAATGAAAAATTACCGAAATACCGGTATTGAAATTTTTCATCGGCATTGCATTCCCTAATAGTAACTATAATTAACCAGTAAACTATGATTGACGAATAGACTCGTCACAGTGAAGTGGCAAAATCTTTTGTATTGACGAATATATTGGTCATGTGTATAAATCTTTGACAATTTGCAATTTAGATTACAATTTTTAGAATGAAAAAAAAATGTATCCTCAACATTCAAGATATGTATTTAGAATATTTTGAGGCCAAGTCGGTATAAATAAATAGTTGTTCTATCTCAAAAACAATATTTTACCTCGATTCTCTTTCAATACTGTGCGCATCGTTCGACGAGTGCGCCACAGTTAACTGGTTAAATATAGTACTAACAATAAACATTTTATTAACATGATAAATTTTTCTTGGCTGTGGAACATAATTGATCAAACAATAATCCGAATGGCATTCTTCAAAAATACTATAAAAATGTTAAGCAATGGTTTTTCATAATTCTATTAATTCAAAATACTTTTTGTAAGCCTATTTTGAAAAATCATTTATAAATTTATATCTACTATCAGGGTACTATGAAAATATGCAAATTATAAAAAAAAATCTAAATCTTTTGGATAGAAAGATGATGATGAGGTGTTTTTAAAAGTACGTAGCCCAAACAAAATTCATTTTTATAATAGATGAAGCGAAATAGCATTATATTTGACAAAATGCAGAGAAATAAAATTGATGATTTGAAATACAGCCTGAGGCCGTATTTTCATTTTATTGAATCGAGTTTGTGCAATTATAATGAATATTCATAGAATATTAAAGGGGGGGGGGTCTAGTAGCCTGCTTTAGAGGCTTAAAAAAAGCGATTTTTTTTTGGTAAAATTGTCTTCCAAAACTAGCCAAGAATATATTCCTAAATTTTCAGAAACAAATTCATACTATTTTTGGAATTACAGAAGAAATGGTGAACATCAAGCATGCATATAAGCGGAACGAAAACTTCGACGCGCGATTTCTCGGTTTTGAATTTTTTCAATTCTTCCTAATTGGCGGGAAAGATAGGAAAAAAACTAAACGTCCTATCGAAACGAGATAAAATTCTTTGTATTCAGGATTAAATTCTATTCTAGTTGAACCTAATAAAACTTATAAAAAAAAAAGTTATAATTAACCCACTTTTTAAACAATCTACAGTGAACTTTTGTATCAAAAAACATGATTTTTTATTTAAGTTGTGAAAAATTGGAAAATTTTCTCATTTTTTCGGGATTTTTAAGGTTCAACTAGAATCTATACTATTGTAAATATATATTTGTTTTGATTTTTTGTTTCAGATGGAAATTGTGACCTGGATCTTTCCCGCCAAATGACATTTTTTCAAAATGCCATAAAAATAATTTTTCATAATCCTATTAATTCAAAATACTTTTTATAAGCCTATTTTAAAAAATCATTCATATTTTTATTTCTACTACGGCGTATATACATAGTACCGGCAAAATGTCTGTACCCGGCACATTTTGACATATATTTTAATGAGAAAAATTAAGAAGAATATTGAAATATATAACAATAAAACCTGATTAAATATTTATTTCCTTCCCTAAAAATCCCTCAATTGTTTTCATCTATATACCATTCAATTTGGCATTTAACTAGCCATTATAATTTTTTTATAATACATTCCAAAACACTTTCGAATACCTATAAATGCAATATATACTTATAGTTTATGCAGGCAAAATATCAAACCATTTAGATGCATATAAAAATGTTGAAATTATAAAAAAAGTGAAACAGAACTCAATAATGTATCCATGTAGCATTGCATGTAAAAAGTTCTTTTTATGCTCAATAACAAATACAATTCAATTAATCATTAACAATCAATTGGTATTCTCAGGACATATATCTGTGTATAGCACAGATATTATTTTACTTTGTTTCTAATTGATTGATTATATAATTAAATATACAATCAACAATATACAAGTAATATAATCAAATATAATTCAACCGATTATATTTCTTTTTAATGACAGTAATTCGGAAAATAAGGATAGAAGTAAAAGTTAATTAGTATAATAATATTAATATAAAAAATGAATATGTTTGTTAATATGCATTCAACTATGTAAAGTTTTTCCAATTATTTTAACCATATTTTCATACTTGTAAGTCAAATAATTTGTACTATTCTGTTTACTTAATAAAAAAAATTCTTACCTGTAGCTAAATCAAGTATGAGACTATCGATTCAGTCAGCTCGTAACCAAAAGTAACGCCATTGCACTACAACAACTATTCGTTGTCAGCAGTACTTTGCGTTAAGATATATGGACCCAATAATTGGCCTGTTGATATAAACAATTATATAGTTTTCACATGGTAATATCAACAATTTAAATATTATCACATTAGTTGTATAATAACAATTTAAAATAATTGTGCATGATTATTAATATCAGTTCATACGTGTGAGAATGCACATGATCTCCAATATATAACTTTATATTTAAATTGCCAGATTTGATATTACAATATAATATAGCTCAAAATATTTCAACAATTGCTTATGCCTAATTCCAAATTCATAATCGACTTTCATACATTAATACGGGTACACGAAAGAAGCTGAATAGGCTTTTTTAGTTATTGCAATAAATTGATAAACCAAATAGATATCTTTAAGAAATTCTTTATCTAAAGAGAATGAATTTACTATAAAAAAATATATTTAGTTTTAATAACAAAAAAAAAAAGAATAAGTTCAAAGTACTATCACAAAATAGAAAACTATCTGGTCAGGTTTTAGCAATAGTATGCTATTTTCTATTTTGTGACAGTACTTTGAACATTTAGCAATAATGTCTTAGAGAAATGACGATATATATTGAAATGTATGTTAAAACATTTGTAGAAAAAAAAATTGTGGATTTATTTATCATCAATAATAACACAGGTGTGGAAAAGTATGATGGAATTAATCTCACAAATAAGGTAGGATGAAACTATTTTAAAATCTTATCTTTAGATTGTTTACATTGACATCATTCCATAACGCATTAAATACCTAAATTGTTTTTAAATTAAAAGAAATACTTTTCCAACAGATAAAAACATTAATATAAACATACAAAATATAAGCTTACAGAGCACCACATGACTCAAAGTTATAATCTATCCTTCTCAAACATAGATTTATCAGTAATAATAAGATAGTAGTTTTGCTCACTGTTTCAATATTACGAAAGATATTATATATATATATATATATATATATATGTGTGTGTGTGTGTATATTTCTGACTTTTCAACGTATATGTCAAAGATGCACCAATACCAACTGTAATTTCTCTACTAAATTTATGCTAGATTTATTAAAATTTTTGGTGTAAGCAATTAATCGTGCAAAGCGAAGATGAATTTGCAAGTAATAATACAATAAAATGGTCGAGGAATTTTTTGCAGAAAAATATTTAAATTGATTTCTACCAAATATTAAAAAAATTAGGATTGATTCTAAGTTATGAGGTTCAATTCGATAATGCGATGGTTTGTCAATTATTTGTTGACAATTAAATAATATAACATTATTTTTCAACATTAAATAGGTAATATATTTCAATAACATGATTTTTAAAATACATATCTAGACCTTTATACATCTTCAAAATTCTTACTCAAGATAGCATTTGTTAAGTAATTTCACAATTAAAATTTATGTGTCTTAGAATATATACAACAAAACCCATTATTCAAACATTCTTTATTTTATGGTTGTGTGGTACAAATAATGTAAACAAACAAGTTATTAAACAAATTGAAGAAATACTAAAGAAAAATACTTTTTGTAGTTTATAGTAAATGAAAGCCGATAAATTGCCACACCCCCCTCCCGTGTGAACAAGTACTTGAGGTGTAGGAGGCGATGAAGCTATTCTTCCGACCCGTACTAAGTTGACATTTATACAAAAACCAAAACA